GCAATGGATGAACAGAGATATCTTTACGTTTCTGACGTCGAAAAACATGAAGTAAGACGATATCAATTGGGTGAAAAGAATGGCACTCCCGTAGCTGGTGGTAATGGACAAGGTGATGGCTTCAATCAACTCAACGTGCCGAGATATCTCGTTGTCGATCGACAACAGAATGTCTACGTGTCAGACAACGAAAATCATCGTGTAATGAAATGGAATAAAGGTGCAAAAGAAGGTATTGTGGTCGCTGGAGGACAAGGTCAAGGGAATGCTCTGACACAATTGTCTAATCCTAATGGAATCTTCGTTGATACGTTGGGTACACTCTATGTAGCAGACCAGGGGAATCATCGTGTAATACGTTGGACTCAAGGATACAAGAAACGAGGCACTGTAGTTGTGGGTGGAAATGACGAAGGAGAAGGAGCAGATCAGTTCAACAGCCCCTGGGGTTTGTCTTTCGATCGACATGGTAATCTCTATGTCGCCGATCATGATAATCATCGTGTCCAACGATTTTCTATCGAATAAGACTTGTGAATTGTTTTTTTTTGTTCGTTTCTTTTTCTATACTTTGAAATAAATGAACAAGAAAAAGAAATTTTCTTGTACTCTTTCGCTCCAAAGAAAAGAAAAAAGCTAAAATATAAGATTACGTTATATGTTTCTTTTCTTCTTCTCTTATTTATTTATTTGTTAAATGAAAAGAAATGAATTAAATAAAAATTCTTTTCTGCAAAAAATATTAATTATTACAGTGAAAAAAAATTAATTGTTTTGAAAATATTTATGATTTAAATGAAAAAATAAAATTTTGTATTATTTTCATAAAAATATTTATTAGTAAAATAAAATATTTTAGTAGTAAATTGAAAAAAAATGATTAGTAAAATGAACTAATTTATTAGGAAAACGAAAAAGCAATTATTAGTAAAATAAAATTATTTATTAGTAAAGTGAAATTACAATTTTGTTTTATTCAAATGTAAAAAAAGATTTGAGTTATTTTAAAATTATTTATTGTTAACATAAAAGTATTTATGATTGAAATGAAAAGAAAATTTGAGTTATTTGAATAACGTTTATTTTAAAAATTAAAAAAAAACAGAAGCTACAAAAGCTACATGAGAAACATATATAGTTGTAACTATTTTCGTTTGCCCAGGTCGAACATTCCGGCCACCGGATCCGGTAGGATACTCCAGGGAATATGCGGGAAAGCCACCATATCCTGCAGGAAAACACAGGAAATCGCTGGAACATGGAAGCAGTATTCCGATCAAAAATACGGTCGGACTTTTCCGGCGAATTCCTGTCAAGTTCCGGTGCTTTCCGGCAGGAATTGATCGGAAATCACCGGAAAAAATCCGAAAATTTTCCAACCGGAATACTGCTTCCACAAAATCAACGGAACTACCCGGAACCGGCCGTTTCCAGGCCGGACTGTTCGACCTGGGTGAATTGAAATGTTGAATGTAACTAAAACATAAAAAGTAACAATTTATTTTATTTTATTTCTTGAATAAGATAATGAAGATAAGTGAAAGTAATTATATTTACTTTCCTGTTAAAGAAATCGAGATGAACTAAAACGAAATAAGAAGAAATAAATTGATTGGAATGAGAAAATTTTTTTTTGCTTACCAGCTAATAGTTGCTCGCGCGACCAAGAACTACCTTGGTGGTGCCATTGAGAGCCGAGGCTCTTCACGTACAGACATAGATCTAGCGTGTATAGAACATACAACAGGAAGATCTATATGCGGCCTGTACGTGCTATGGGCACCAAAGTAGGCTTGGCCAGTTTCACGCCGATGTATGGAAGGCCTCCGTAGGACGTAAAGAATATACATATTTACAAAATTATACTTACTTTGTTTTGTATCACTAAAATAGATAATAGAAAATAGAAAAATAAAATTTAAACTAAAATGAAAATAGAAAGACAATTATCATATGTAAAATTAAAATAAATAAGTGGGATAAAAAGCTGAGACAACGAAAAAATAAAATTAAAAAACTCACACTAATACTTACCTATGATATTGAACCATAGCCAGTACGAATACAAAGCTAAAATAGTTAAAAAATAAAATATACATGTGATATGGTAAGAAGAAGAGAAAGAAAGGTGGGGAATGGTTTCTTACGTTAAAAATCATTGCTATTTATAGTCATTTTTGGTATTCGTACCCTAGTTTATTGAATATTGAGAGTGCTACTCACCGAAAAGTGATATTCGGGAAAACGTAATGTAGTTTTATAGTGTGCATAAGTAGATCATTCTCATTGGAAAAGATGACATCAGCAACCTATTTATCATCTTAATTTTCAAAAGGGAAAGGAGAATTTTAGAAAAAAAAACATCAGTTTGTCTTTTGCAACATGGTATTTGAATACAAATTATTTCGCATAGATTCGTACAATTTCGTCATCACAACATGTACTTAATTAGTAAAGATCATTTACCGCTTGGTAAGTTATAAAAAGCAAGTTTATTCGTGGAGATGCAGACTACGAAATCATTTTTCTCTCAACTCTTTTTATATCAGAAAGATTGCTTATTACAAACTTACCAAGAGGTAAATAATCTCTACGAATCAAAATACATGTTGCGATGAAGAAAATATGCAGGTTGATCACAACATCAACTTGCCAGAACAACACTTTCATTTATAAATCAAGATAAATTGTGAGAGATTATGTTGAATAGAGAAACATTCACGTGACAAAAAACTCGACTGTTCATGACCACTGATGTATGAAGTTAGCAGACTCAATGTTTCATTCACAAGAAGGAACGATAATGTGATTTTCTCACAACATGGTTTTTTATAATTGCCAGAAAAAAAATCACGTGTCCCGATGAAAAAATGTCATTTGAGTTTTTCTGATGTTAAATCACGTACCATCGTACAGATAGTTTAAATCAATCAACTTGTTGACTATAATCATCGAAATCTTCACAACGTCGAGCACTGAGTACACTACATTGAATTTGGGCCCATCCGTGCTTTGAATACAGTCGGAATTTCTCGGTAATTGGATTGTCGGAATTGGAAACTTTGCTAGATTAGGATTCTGTATTCAGGAACTTATTGGAATCCGACCCTGAGGATCCAACATCAATTCCTGAACCCGGAATCCGATAGGATTTCGTTGGTTTCCTTGTCGGATCGGATAGGTTTCGATCGGTTCCTTTACTGGGATTGAACAACCTGGGCACTCGAGCATCCATTTAGCTCATCATGAAGTTTTCTTCTATTCTAGGAAAAACTTGAAGCTTTCTGGAAGTGCCGCCATCCTGTTCAGTCGCCAATACCTTTTCGTTTTCTATAGCGAATCGCTGATATTTTAGACCGGTATCCAAGCAATGTAATAGTAAATTCCAAAGATTTATTTCAGAGAAATTTTCTAGAACTTTACAGACTTGAACAGTCATGATTTCAACTATGTATCTAGTTTAGAACGAAAATCTTCCATTGTGTTGCAATGTGCGTTGAATGAACAACCGTCATTAATATCGATACTAATAGTGTTGATACGATGACGAATTGTTCTTTTTCGATACTGCATCTGTGACCGATCAAATGACGCAGCCGATTCATTTATAAGAACATCAAGAATGATTTTTTTTAAAAACATACTCTAATCGACAGCTGGTGCTCCTGTTTTTCCATTTTTGTAAATCATCATGATAATGTAACAGAAATAAAGTAAAAAATAGCGGCATATTATGTGGTTACTATCACGGAATAACAATTCGAAATTCTAACTCACATGAAATATTATTTACAAATATACACATCTCAAACTGGAATATATTCAATAGTAAGTAAGTCAGGAAACCAGATAGTGGGAACACAGTCTAATTATTTTTCTTGATTATAGTCGTTAAATTAATAAATTGAACAATAGAAAAAAAATCAGTATTGGTATTCTTTAGAATTCAAGTAATTTAAGTTATGATATGCATTAATATTTTTAGTTCATTTTTTCATTTATATCGATAATGATACGTCTAGAAGTCAAGATTAGACAGCGAATAAAACAAAAACTTTCTTCTATCTCTCTAATCTCATTTTGATAGCTTTTTAGAACAGCTTTTACATTTCTATTGACAGATAGATTCTATAGTATGTAAGAAATCTACATATATACTTCATCTTTTTCTTGCTCAAGCTTTATATTTCGATCATTTGTTTGCTTCAGAACTACGTGTCTTAATTTCAATCATCGTATTCATTTAACATATTTAATAAAGAGTGTGAAACCTACAACAACACACCATACATGTTTAATATACAAAGAATAGTTTTAGCACCTCATAATGGAGTTAAAACAAACTAGAAAAAGATCACATACATTTACATATAATGAATAGAGTGCCGAGCGAGAGAGAGAGAGAGAGAACGTAATATTGTTCTGTATTTATATAAACTAAAATGTTTGCAGACGAAGTTATTTCGTGTTGTTGATTGACGCGAGTCGTATGTATAACAATAAGACGCAAACTAGCACTAGATGATTCAGTTTTAAACAACAGAAGTAAGTTCTGATATTGACATATAACCACTTTTCTTAATACCGTAAAGCACCAATATTCTATCGTTTAAAACATCATATCAATAGAAAACATTTCTAGTGGCGAATTTGTACAGTTGTTGACGTGATCTTTGAAAGTAATGGATTCTACATATGATATATGTAATTGAATTCTTCTTATCTACTCATTTCATAATGGTATTCCCCGTAAATGTAATCGAATCAGAAAAGAAGCAAAGTAATAAGATTAACCGCGAAAATCCTTTTTTTCTTCGTGCTATTTACTAAACTTGTAGGAGACTTTCTTATTGTATTCTCTGTAGATAGGCATATGATACAAATATGGAAGTATATTGAAATAGAGAAATGAAACTTCCTGTAGGTCTGAGTCGTTTTCTCACGCACACTTACGTTGAATTCAAATTAATTTTCTTTCCATTCTTCTTTCCGTTTTTATCTTCACTCAAGTACACATGCGCATTCTTACTTGCTTGATTTACCTATCGGCGTAGTCGATTCGCCTATATACGTGTAGTGCCATGAGTTAGAATAATGAAGGGAATTCATTTTAGTTTCTCTTTCTTCCTCTTCCTCTTCTTCCATATTAACACAATTAAAAAAGAATTGAACCATAAAAACAGTTGGTTGATTATTAGGAGTAAATCTAGTTTTAATGACGTATCATCAATCACTTGCGATTATTTCTATCACACTCAACAACATTTTAATGTATACATCATGTACATGAATTTGTATTCACATAAGCGAACATCGAAATTTGTTTACATGGCTATAAATTTCGTTTATAAGCGAATGTAAATGACCTTCCATTTAAATAACAGCTGTGTATATGTGTGTTATAAAAAATTGTGTGATACTCATAAAAAAAAAATTACTTTATTATATAGATAGACTTTTTCAAGAAAATATTATTTTTATTTTCACTCGAAGGAAACGAAATAGTTTTCTTTCGTATTATCTATAAGATTAATTTCAATTTCTTTATCATATTGACATTTACTCTAACGAAAAAACAAAACATCGAATGTAAGTTTTATAGAATATTCTCTAGTACGTTAAGAACAAGATTCGAAAATGATGCAAGTAATCAATAATAAAATACGTGACGATGTTGTTAAAAAGTATGCTCAATATACAAAACGTGTTAATGGGGAAATGGTTGAAGGTAGCCGACAGAAAAATATTGACCTTTTCAGTGTTTTTATTTTCACTGTTATAATTTAGTTATGTACGAATGGTTTGAACGTGCTGATCAACAAAATCGAAATAAAAACATATCACTTGTGGATTCGCCTCATGATAAACATTTACGTCTTACAATAAATAAAAATACATTTGAACAACATAATGATCGATTACCACGTATAAAATTTTCCTTCTTTGTTAAATTGAAATTTTGTTTCTTTCTATTAGATTCAAGACGATTAACATTTGAACAATTTTGTACGTTGCTAGCACCCATGATAACGGGTCAATTTAATGATATTCAATTAAGTCAAATGTTTGAAATATTAGATTTAGAAAATGATAATTATCTCAATCAGTACGAGCTAGAAAATTTGCTTATTGTTATTGGTCGATCAGAATCATCTGATAAAATACAAAGTAGTATTTTGCAATTAACAACGCGAGGAATGCTTAGTTTTGAAGGTTCGTAGTTTTCTATTGAATTTCTTGTAATTTCTGTTTTACATAGATTTCAAACGCTTCATTACCGATGGATTTGCTCGAGAACTTCTAATGTTATCATACAACAATACCTATGAAAATCGTTAAATAAATAGATTCGTCGTACTAATTTTCTTTTCTTTATATTGCCTCATAATACACACAAAGATGCAATTCGGTGTTTTTATTTTATCTCATTGATTTCTTTTGTTTTCCTTTTACAGTACTATTGAATCAGTTGAAATAGTTTCTTATTTTTTTCTCTCTCATGGACTGTAAGTCAGATTATTATAGATTCCGTTGTGTGTATGAATTACATTGATATATTCAATTTATCTTGCATGATCCTATATGAAATTACTACACATATTGATATAACTTTATTCTGTATGAATCTATGTAATTTTTCTTTTTTTGTTTTGTTTTTTCGTAAATGTCGTGTTTAATATATACATGCTGGCTAATGTTCAGCCAACAGGAAATGCGACAAACGAAACAGTGATATGGTTGCTACTCATCGTAATTTTTATTGGATTATAACTAAGAAACAAGAGAATGGCAAACAAAAAGTTGACGAGTAAAATACTTTTGAAAGTCTCAATTAATTCAAAGAACGAATGCACGTTTCGGTTTGTGGCTATTGTTAGTTGTCGTTATATAAAATCGGCTGTTTTCATGTACACAGATCGTTGTTATCGATAAGTTCATGAATACCTATAAGGTATTTTTCAGAATTATGAGCCATTGCAATAGGAAGGATTGTTGTTGTTCTTTCAGAGATATCATATTGTTTGCAATTTCAAGTCATCTTTTAAAGAGCTGCACAGTTGAATTCAATGGATTGCAAAATTCTTCTGAAATAAACGAGATACAAGTTACGTTGCATTATATCGTAAAGCATCTGATAGAACATGAAAAATTCATTTTGATGAATCTATCTCTTGCAAGTCCATGAAAAGTCAGAAAGTTTCTACAAAATCGAATAAAATTCAAATAGACAACTAAATAGTTGTTTGTGATTCTTTACCAGACTTAAATATATGTATGTTTCTATTTGGAATTGGAGTGATCTTTTTTGAAATTTTTGTATTCACGGTCATAAACATGAATTATAATTAATTTTCGTGTTATTGCTTGTACAATTTAGATCGCTAACAATTTAACTATTGACATTAGTGGTGTGGCTAAGCCAATTGAGTTATTTGAGATAAGAAATATACCCTAAAAGAAGGATATTTATCAAAATAAGAACGATCCTTGTTTAAAATGAAATACTCAAACTCGATTATGCTCGTTGTAGAATATTCAAAAAATAGTTCTTGTAGCGTTAGCTTGAAAGTTATCGTGCAACTACATTCTGGCTATTCTCTGATCTATATCAACTTTGATAGGAAAAACTGAACTAGATATTCTAGTATGCAGCTTGTCCACGTAACGCACTACTTCGCTGATCAATTTTTAAAAATTTCGTTTTTCGATATAGACAGATCTAAGCGTATTTTCTGGTATAGTTTTTTACGCTGATTGCGAATTTCGACTTTTTTCTTAAAAAATTGGGTTGTGGCATCGAAAATCGTGTTTTAAAGTTTTCAAAAACTGTATATTCAATTTTCTAACCAAGAAATTTAAAACAAAAATGCAGAGTAATATACCATTCGATGCCGAATTTGATTCTCTACAAAATGGCCTATTCATTTTCTACTCTCATTCTTCAGGACGACTTCTAAACTCTTGTACAGTTTCTAACATACTATACAATTATTGAGCTCGTATATCGATGTAGCAACTTGAGTTTTTTACAGAAGGATCTATGCAGAGCAGTGATCAATATACAGTAGATAAACATAAAATATTTTTAAGCATGTTAAGTGCTTCAAATTGTTTTTTTTGCATTTTTAATCTGAACGAAAATAGCTTAGAAAAAAGTATCTTTTACTGTTTGAAAGCCCATTCAATTCTCTACAAAACTGGTACCATAAGCATTTCATTTGAAGAAATGATTTGTCAAAAAAATTAGAGCTTTACAAGCAGCCCTAGCAAAAAAGGGTACTTTTTTGTCACAGTTTTACGCGATGATAAAACCTTTCTAGAAGCGCGAGAGTTCAGTCAACGATCTTATTAGCTCTTATGCCTTTCGAAATAATTGCGAAACAATTTGTCAAAATGTCACAGCGCTACGTTTTTACAAGCCGTATGAATAAATATTAAACAAATTCGAAAATATATAACATAGAATAGGAGGGTTTGTCAACATATGCATTGAATGAAATAAACGAAACTTGAATGATTGCTAAGAAATAATGCAATTTGAATTTTGCTGATTGCGAAAAAGGGCTGAAAAATCTTGACTACTTCGACTGAATTCAACATATCGTCTCGCTCGGCGCCAATCGAATTCTTGACCTGGCTTCAGCTGTACCTTCCAGTTTCTATTGTTTCTGTAGATACCTTCTTGATCCCAAAGTGGTGGATTGAAATTAATTGCATCATTTGTGTTTATACACCAGACACAAACTTCAAGCTTTTTTAGAGTATTCTGTTGACAAGTGTACTGCATCGTTTCGAACCATCGAGCCCATTTTCGACCATTGGCCCAACTTGAATCTGAATTAGTCAAAATATTCAATTTTATTTCATTTAATTCGAAACATTCAGATACAAATTTGATAATATCATTAAACTGGATATCGATAAACGGTGTCACAATGATTTTATTGAGGTGACTTTTGTTGATTCGATCCGCATACGTAAGAAATTTTGGAAAAAGATCAGGATGGCATATAGTGAACGTTTTAAATTGATGATTTTCAGCAAGATACGGCAAAACACGGCCAATTGTAAATTCAACTTCGTGCCATTTTGTATCACTGGTTATATGTATATGATGTACTGCTGCAGTTAGAAATAAATGTACAAGTTTATTAAATCGTTTATTTAACAAAACGAATGCATAGTTTAAATCGATCAGTGACAAGTAAGGAAATATATCATGCATAAAAAGTTCATTCGGCAATGACTCAAACTGAAACGCCATATTATAAAGCACGGTGTGTGTGTGTGTGTGTAGCAAGAGAATAGAAATTTGTCGGGTGACACTGATAACAGAAAAAAGAGAAAGCAACGAACACGTGCGCATTCGACGTTATGTGCTATTACTCACTCAATCTAGAAACTCCAAAGGAAGACAAGAAATGTTTATTGTTGTAATTACGTATTATGAAAAACATGTGCAACGGTGTAGAATCGCCCTTCCGGAAAAAAGTTGCCGACAATTTTCTTCAGCATAAAAGTTGAATACAAACTAAATGAGTTACTCCCGTCTAAGATATATGTTTAAAAAAGAACAACTACGACTAATTGCTACATTCCAAATATCTGTTAGAAAAAATGTTTAGTATTCAATATCGACCTACTTGTTCTTTCCGTAAATGATTTTTACTATCTAGAATTTCCTCGATACGCTACTAGTCTGTTGACAAAAATATTTCATTTCATAGTTAGTAAGAACTGCAAAAGTTGTAGTGCACACCATTGTTCATTGATAGTAGTGAAGACTTGGGATTTTACTACTTAAAAACTAAGATTTTAAAAGAAAAATACAGAAATTTTTATGATCCACATGTTCAAATTATTAGATTTATTTCATATCATTTATATTGATTTTTCAGCAGTGGGCAGATTTCCTAAAAAGGAAATGTTCTAGGTAAATATGCATGTTTCGGAAACTAGAGAGATGAAAAATTCAAGTTTTAGAAAATATCAGAAACTGTCGTAATTACCGCAATCTTATTCACCATAAGCCAAAGTCAAAATAAACCAATTTCCTGGAAATTTCTATAATTTCTATATTAATATCGTATAGATTTAAGAATAACTATGTATCTAGATTTAAAGACCACACCCTCAAGAATGAGAAGGATTTCTAGGAATTTCCGTAAATACCGTAATTTCCAGATAATGGCAGAAAGCACTCGAGGATCTACTCTTTGTTTTGGTTCTAATTTGCTGCCATATTATTAGTTATTTCCGAAATTAGCGGGAAATTTCTTTTTGTATGTGAAGCTGATTTCAGAAATTCCCAGGATATTTTATTGGATGATATTTTAAATTATGGTATTTTCTGATCATTTTCTTTTGCACGTAATGGCAATTACGGAAGTTTCAAGGAAATTTCTGTTGGCACTCTGGTGTGGCTTTTAATAGTGTGACAAAAATTTGTTATTTTCGGAAATGTTAGCATTTACGATTGTATCGACAGTTGTGTTCAAATAATTTCCTGTTGAACACATAACTCAGTACAAAAAGAAAAAATTTGCATCTGAATTGGATACCATCGATTAGTTTAATTACTACTCGTAAATCTCCACTTCAGTTAATACTATGTTGGCTGATTTGATTCGTTTTTGATAAGACAGAAAAGAAACAAATCATTACACTCATAAAAACTATTCTGCGTTTATGAGTGCTTCAAAAAGGCGCACTCATTAAGAAACATTAGTAGTGACAAGTGTATAAGTGGATGTACCATTGACGATAATTTCATTTTCAAAAGTTCAAGCTTTATCTGTTAGAAACTAAACGAATATTCTTAGATATATAAATATGTCAAAATTACTAATATTCAAGTAGTCTTTCTGTAACTCGACTGAAACAGATTGGAGCCGAGCTGGTAGAGCACTTAACAAAAGAAACATGGGAGAGAAAAACAGCTTTTACATTGATCTGTAAGAGGAATCTCATGTTTAATAGTATGTTTTTTGCGTTTCAGCTTTTATATGTATTTGGTCGTTAGGCTATAAAAGAACAATGAGTTGATCATCAAGGTAATAAAGAAGAGGAAAAAAACTATTTTCTTTTCATATGACTGACAATATGATTTACTCGTATTTATAAAATAGTGCCAATAAGTGACTCACTCGTCGTTTTGATTATGATTTTTTCCGTTCCTAGCTGAATATCAATTATATTTATTCTGCAATATTTACTCTCCATGGCCACAAATAATGAAATTTGAGAATATGAAAAATATACCCCTCTTTCTTTCTTTCTTTCTTTCTTTCTTTCTTTGCAGTTGTAAATTAATGCAAAATACAAAAAGAAATATAGTGTACTACATCCATTACTCTTAGATATTTCAAGGTAATTTCACGATTTACTATATATTCATCACTGATTTAATATTATCTATTTGTCATATTAGTACCATGACAACAAGTGAAGAACCAAATCGATGTTCTATCTGCGATAAGACTGCGGCTAAATGTACCTGTGCAGGATGTAAATCATACTTTTGTGTAAAGCATTTCAATGAACATCGCCAGCAACTATCGATGAAGTTCGATGTTGATATAAAAAATGTTCAAGAAGAATTACTCACACAAATCAATCAACTAGATAAACCGATAACTCCTTCAGCTGAGCTTTTATCCCAAATTGATCAATGGGAAAGTGAAACAATTGAGAATGTACATGAGAGAGCTGTAAAACTTCGACATCAACTTACCGAACTAGTTAATCAAGATAGAAATCAATTAATAAACCAATATAAAATACTAACAAACGAAATAAACACTCTCAAAGAAGACGATGATTTTGCTGAAGATGATATTGAGAGACTTCGAACGACTATCAATCAAATACAAATATCATTAAAACAACTTGTTACGCCGTCGAAAACAAAATTTATGTTAGTCGAAAACAATCAAATCGATTGGAATCATCTCATTAATGTTGAAGAAAAACCAAAACTATGTGAGTTAACGTAAACAAATGCCTAGCGAAAGATAATTTTATTTTCCACTATGACTCTCTTTTTTTTTTAAGTCCATTTTTCTACTTAATCATTTAGCTATAATTTCATATCTATTCAAATCAATGCTCATAAAATCATGTCCTGAAAAAAATCTGAAAGTCGTACGCCTGCACGACTTTTCCTAATTCTCATTCGTTTCAGTTACAATAAATAGATGCTGAAAATGTAGCTATCGACTTTCATTTGAATGCAGTACGGAAAATTTTAACTTTTTGACAACGGAAAAGTTATCTATCGAAATTATCGTTGACAGTTTTGTGCAGTAAAAGTCCATATCTGAATTCAAAATAGTACAAAAAATGTCCAGATGAAAAAAGAGAAGTTCGTTTCACAGTTTGGAAGTATCTTATATATGAATGATAGGTGTTTAACATTATTTTCAATTCGATTTGCAGTACGCAATAGTATTCGAGTCATTATTAAGAAAAGAAAAATTTTTAAATGTCCACTTTACCGGTGCCAATTGTGATAAAGAATTATTTTATGTTTAAGATCCTTGAGATAAGAATCAATAGTAATTACATTATCTGGAAAGTTCTTCAGTATCTTATGAAAATTAATTTTAACGAGAGTATCATTATAAAACTTCAATAAATAATCTCAATTAAGAATTGCTTGAATTTAATTTCAGCACCACTCTATGCGATGACTATAAATCCTAATGCTAAATGGAAACCGAATGGTGATACAATAGCTGGTGGTAACGGAGCTGGTACTGCAATCAATCAACTGGCACGACCTTCCAGCTTGTATATTGATCATGATCGCTCTATTTATATTGCTGATTCAGATAATCATCGTATTGTTAAATGGAAAAATGGTGCAACACAAGGTGAGATCGTTGCTGGTGGACACGGTGAAGGATATAGAAATGAGCATTTGTATTCACCTACTGATCTGATCATTGACGATGAACAAGATAGTCTTATCATTTGTGATTATAATAACTTACGAGTAGTTCGATGGCCACGTCGAAATGGCAAACAAGGAGAAGTTATTATCTCGGATATTCGTGGTATCGGATTGACTATGGACAATAATGGATCTATTTACATCGCTGATAATAAAAAGCATGAAGTAGTACGATATCAACCAGGTGAACGTTGCGGGACCGTTTTAGCAGGTGGGAACGGAAGCGGCAACCGACTTGATCAGTTGCAATGTCCACGATGGTTATTTGTCGATCAAAATCATTCGGTGTACGTATCTGACAATGAAAATCATCGTGTAATGAAGTGGATCGAAGGCGCACAAGAAGGTATAGTCGTAGCTGGTGGTCATGGCCTTGGAAATAGTCTCGCGCAATTATCTCATCCGTGTGGCATTGTTGTTGATGATGCAGACACTATTTATGTAGCAGATAGTTGGAATAATCGAATCATGCGTTGGCCAAAAGGAGCCACGCAAGGAAGTGTTGTTATTGGTGGAAACGGTCGTGGTGATCAACCCAATCAGCTCAATCAACCGACAGGTTTATCATTCGACCGACAAGGTAACCTTTACATCATCGATCAATGCAATCATCGAGTACAAAAATTCCATCTAGACTCAACTTCATGTTTTTAATTGTTGAATGTAATTAGATTTAAAAAAAAACGTTAATACAGTGCAAACATGAAGTTGGGCACGAGTTTTTGTTTTGTTTTACTTTGTCGACTTTCACATTGCGATCTAAAGATCTTGAGAGTCGAAAGTCAGGAAAAAAATTTTGAACTGAACATGAACGAAGGTATCGAGGCCAAAGTACTCAGAACTTTTTTCAAAACTTTAACGGAGCATTCCGTTTGCTCATAAATATCGTCCCAAAATGACAGATTTGCAAAAAAAACTAATTTTTCGATTTTTCGATAATTCAGTGTTCAATGCATGAATTTGTTTGAAAGTAGGTTCTTACGATTTGAGAGAGTTCTCGTAGCGATGAATCGGTTAATGATTGATTTATGCATAGATCATGAATCATAAAGACAGTTAAATGTTCAATCAAACTCACGATAAGTGTCAATAGATTCTTCCAAATTAAGTGATGAATTTAACTATGACTACTTCAATAGTATTTTAAATTTCTATCAGTAGTTGAGTTGAAAGTGTTTTATCGCAC